TATCTTTTTGTTGGAAAGCATTTAGATGTTTTTTAATTAAATAACTAAGATGTGGTGTTTAAAGAATCATTATTTCATGGCAAAAATTATCTAAGATATTTATTTTTTTATCATTATAACTCAGCTTTTACTTTATTCATGAAATTTCTCTGGAAAATAAATGTTGTTATAAGCATATTAAGTACCTACATGTATGAAGAACGATGCTAAAATATTAAATTTGAAAAAGGGCAATGTACAAATACTTCAAGCACTGTAGCATTTTGTTGTTACGTAAAAGACGACAAATCGTTAATGGATGGATAATAAAGTCTTTTGATTTACCAATTGTAGCAAAAATACAAAAAAAAAAAAAAAAAAAAAAAAAAAAAAATCTAACACGTTCAAAAAAAAAAATACACGAAAGTATGTGTTAGGACTAGTTCTAAGAATTATGAACAGTTCTTCAGATATACAATTAATCAATACCTTTAAAGCAAATTAAATTGATAGTGTTTTTTAAAAAGACCAATTGTTTAAAATGTAATACATTAGATTTTTTCTGCTTCACGTATATAAAGTCTATTATTAGAGAAGGAAAATTCCTTCCTTCACTGTATTTTAATATGTTTGCCTTTCGGTATGATTAAGAGTCCCCCCAGCAGCACCTTTTCTTCCGAAATCGAATTAAATCGAAAACAAAATCAGTCTTAAAACAAATATCAAAACAGTCATTGAATAATAGTGTTTCAAAATATATATGTACCGACAGTGGTATTTTAAATTGGAAGGGAGTACATGTAATTTTCATATTCAATTTTAAATTTGATCCTTCCAAGTATATACACGTATTCCTATTATTTTTCATTAATTTTTTTCCCTTCAGAAATGTGGAAATCAGATCTAGAAATGATAGGAAAAAATGTTAAAACTTCTTGAAAATACTAAATGACTCTTTGACTTTGGCATGTTCGGTGAAACGAGATTTCCTTTCCTGAACTGTGTCGAATGAGTTTGATTAACAGGACAAGCACCTGGACTTCGTGTATACCGTGTAAACTTGAAGAAGGAAAATAAAAGCTGATGGTTACTGTCAAATGGATTTGTTAATGTCAAAAAATCAAAATTACTTTCACTGCCTGGAATATTTAGAAAAAAAAATAAGAATTTTTATTTGATACAGCAGATATCTGAAAATGGAGGGGGGGAGGCTTAAATATCTCTCTCTTTCTCTCTCTCTCTGTCTTTCTGTCTGTCTCTTTCTTTTATTACATTTGTCTGTTCAATAAACACTATGACAGCATATTAATAATTTAGTTCTGAAAATCTGATCTATTACAAATAATTGGGATGCCTCTTTCCAGCATTTTGTCCCAGTATAATCTCGGCCGGGAAATGTCTATGTAGATACATGAAGACGCTTGCATCATAATTATCATAAAAAAACATATAAATATTATAGGGTTATTGAACTTATATTGGTGAATATTGGCGCAAGTTGGCTGTTCAAATGCACGAGCTTGCATTAAAATTGAACAGCCAAGGAGTACCAATATTCACCACTATAAGTTCAATAACTCCTTTATTATATAGCTAAAACATTTCCACATAATTTATAATTATTATTCCAACTAAAAACAATCTTAAATTAATGATTTTTTAGTCTCGGTATTCAAATTAACGTCTGTCTTGTTAGCGCTCAATATCGCATCATTATAAGTTCAATAACTCCTTTATCATATATCTGTAACATTTCCTCATAATTTATGATAATTATTCTAAGTAAAAAAACTCAAATTAATGATTTTTTAGTATCGGTATTCAAATTAACGCCTGTCCTGTAAGCGTTCAATATCGTATCATTTCGATGACCCTACCGAGCGTTATGATTTGATCATTTTAGGTTTTATTGGGTCTAATACGTACTAAATTTTTAATAAATAATTTCATATTTGTGTAAAAATAAACAAATCTTACCTAGATCCTACTTCCTTTCTTAAATTTAGCTCTGAGAATTTAACCAGACGACTTTTTTGTTTACAACGCGGCGTTCCTCTGCATGGTCAAACTCTCGTATTCGGAATGTTTCGGCCATACTCGTATACGTAATACAAACTCAGCGTTCAATAAAATTTCAAGATTCTCTAGATTTTTGGCAGTATTTCATTAGAGACTATTTATTAGCTATATAATAAATAATATTATTGCATAAAATTTTTAAATACGAGTTGATTTATGCAATACGTCTACAAACCTTTGTAAATTAAAAAAAATCGTTATTTTGCACGGAATCGACAATATATGTATGGCTGTTACAACCGTGGTAATTATTTCATTTTATAAGTACTAGTTTTTCTCTTCTAAAATCCACATTTATTTATTTTATTAGTTAAAAGAATAGGCATATTTATTTTATAAGTAGATTAATTATTGATTTAAAACAGCATACATATGTGCAGAAAAAAATTGTTGTAATTACTTATTCATCTATTTATTGTTTATTTATATTTTAGCACCTAGCATTAGAATACAATAGAATAGTTTCAATGCAAGGTACAGATCGGAGGCATTCCGAAAAAATCGTTCATCCTGCGTTTACCGTCTATTTACCGTCCACTTTGCGCTCGCATTTGAGCTCCATTCGCGTTCTGCGTTCGTTCACCGTTCACACATCGTTCACTCATCGTTCGCTCTGCGTTCGTTCAGCATTCGTTCACCGTTCAGGCGGAAAAGTAGAACGTTTCAGGGACTGTATGAAGCCTGCAATTTTAAGTACAAATACGGTATGTAAAACAGGGGAATTGTAGGACGTAGTAAATACAATGGTTAGTAAAATTCACCAAGGTTCAAATACCTTTTGAATTTTGCATTTAACTAGCAGCATCTAATAACAATTGGGAGAATTAAATTTTACTATTTAAAGCTAAAGGTATTTGATTTAAAACGGCAACTTACCCTTTAGGTTTCGTCCAAGCTGTAGTTTCTTTTCTTATTTCGTCATTTTAATGTTTTTGGATAGGACATTCAACAAGTTGTGTACCATATGACACAGAGGATAGGATCGTCTTTTTTTCACAATCGGCCAAAATGATGTTTAAAGAGTATGGCCGATAATTCTTCGAAAACAGATGTCGATATTGAGAAAAAAACATGTTTTAAAAGTTAGTTTATTCTTAATATTGACTTCCAGTGTTCTTATATGACGTGGTAACAAAAGAGCAATATTCGTAAACGTTAAAAAAATATTTGTGTATTTTTATGAAAACTCCTAATATTCAATCAATTTCTGATGACGGGCTAGCTTTAGGATGATTTTTTTATTGCTTGCCTTTTAAAAGTGATATACTATGTAAAGATTTCATTATCACGAATCTATGGTAAGGTTTTCTATCATACAAGGGTTGTCCGTAAAGTTCGTGGACAACTAAGAATTGCATAAATGTTTTGTCATTGATATTCAACATTAGGATATTTCTAATCCTTTTCTAAATGTGAATTGAAAAATGTAAAATCGTATTCAATTTCAAATGTTTAATTACAATTATAATTAGACTCGGAATGGAGACCCGGAGCACTGCAATCAAAAAAATGTTTATCACTTTATGAATTTCATTTGTATTTTGTAAAATTCTGTGGAAATCTAGATTACGTTTATATTATGAGATTGACAGAAGTTATCACGCCAAACCTGAAAAATTTGAACGTTCAAAGTTGTAAAATGGCTGAGCAATATATCAAAGTTAGAACACATTAAGACGGATCGGAATTGTTAAAAAAGGGACGTTTTCGGAATAGGTGGAGCAGTGAGCAGTGATAAAATTCTGCGTAGACATCGGATAAACACCTACAGAGACCAATACATTTTGTAAATAATCGGCAAAACATAGTAAAACAAGCCGTACATTAGTACTTAAGTGGCATATAATATTTTCGGACGGAAGGAACAGTTTACAGGATGACATGCGTGAAGGAAAAACCATCATTCCGAGATTGCAGTGCTGTAAAAAATGAATTTCGTAACGTGACTTAACCGTATTTCCGTAAATAAAATCGTTTTTTTACGCGGACAGATGTTGGATGATTGCAGGATATGAGACAGGATATGAGACAGGCATTGTTAAATATCATTTTACGCATGAAACCTGAAAATTATTGCACATGTTTATGACTGGTTAAATGAGGTTGGATGATTGCAGGATGTGAGACAGGCATTGTTAAATATTATTTTACGTATGGAACCTGAACATTTTGTGCACATATTTATGACTGGTTAAAACGACATAAGAAATGTATTGAGTTAAATGGTGACTATGCATGTTGAGAAAAGTTACATGTAGTCGTATAATGCTTTTGATGTCGGGTAACGTCAAGAATTTTCATTTTAGTGCTCCGGGTATGAGTGGTTGTCTTTTTTTTATCTGATAAAAATATAACAATCTGTGCTTTGTTTTTGTTGAAAACTTGCATGTTAATAAAATAAAACATAAATTTAATTAAAATAATAGTTTCATATATTTTATCAATGTTTGTCAGTAATTATCAATGTTGTCCACGAACTTATAAAATAAGTATATTAAATCAATTACATTTTACATCAGTGTGAAAATGTATATATTTGAGTTGTTGCCTAAAAAAGGAACTGCAGTGTGTGGACTATATCCATTTGTTTCTGAAGAAAAGATACCAGAGATCTGACACGGAATGTTCCTTCTACTCGATCCATACATACAGTTAACATAGGGTGTGACCGGTTGGTTACTCCTCCTGGGATTTGCTCTATATTGATATATTTGTGTATTCACAACATAACTTAACTTGAGATCCAAAAATCTTTTTAAAAAACTCTTAAGCTACTAGTAAGCAGTATACAATTCGTAGACCAACGGAATCCACAAAAATCTATAATTTATAGAATCAATTATGACTTTGAAATGATTTTATTTTCATGAGATATTTACTAATAATTGAATCTTTTAATATATGAATGTAAAGCAACATCAGTTTTCATCCCAACCCAAATGCTAGCGAAGAAAAATCATAATAACTCTATCTAATCTGTTCATTTTATAATCCTATCCAATGTGGGGAGAAAAAATCCGTAAAGTCTGAGCTGTACTCATGTCGACGTATTGAATCTTCTACAACTGGCCATTTATAATATGTTACGAATCCGTTCGTAAACCAGCCTGCCCACCAGCTGAAAGAACCAACCGACGATATCACGTGATCACATGACGCCATTAAAGCCAAATCTTCTTCCGGTAAATTTCCGTACATAAATTCGACCGAGTAGTTTTTGGGAATATTTGCTTTACTCCAAGCCATACCATTGGAACAAACAACATAAATCGGACTGGAGTAATTTCTAAAGTATTGGAATGCTTTTTCAAAGTACTCCTTAGTTGCAACCGAAAAAGCATTTCCAAGTGTGAGCATATCACCACGTCTTACGTGGACAGCGATAAGGGTAACATTCTCTCTGGAAGTATCATATTTCCTTAGAACATTTTCCATTAACTTATTTGCTTTTGTTTGAATGTGATTTCTAAATTTAAGAATTTCTCGTAGTTCATTTGACACATTATGGAAATATTTCCATGACTGTAAACATCGCCCAACTCTATATGTTGCATTTGGTTTAAAATCTACAATATCTTTATCATAAGAATTCGTTTGACGTTCTTTTCGAAATATTGCGTTGTCACACTCATGCTTGTTTTTGCTGATCAGAATGTTTTTACCGTTTTTAATTTGAAATATTTGGTAAATTCTATCAGTTACTCCGACTACTAACTTCATACCTTTAGAGGCAGCAATTCCGTATCCAGAGGCAAACTGAAATAAATTATTTCCAAGTCTTCCGATATACTTAACACAGACATAAAACTCGGTTGACTGTTTGTGTTCGACGGATGCTGGTGAGGTTGTAAATTTGGCAATGGAAGAAAACATCGACATTCCTGTAGAGACACTTTTTATTAATGGTATGTTTCCGCTCTTCCACAATGACGAAGCGTTCCAAGTTGTATATTCTTTAGAAACATTTGTTCTCCGTCTAGTATTTGGCGTCTCTTTTGAATTGTTTTGGAGTTCTACCCTTCCCCTGATATTACTTGAAGACACCTGATGTTTTCGAAAAGTACCGTTTAAGAAACTTTTGCGGAGAGATTGATCAGGTCCAAGATGCTTGCTTATGATAATGAGGGTAACGACAGTTATAAACATTGCAACGTATTTCAAACCTGCAATGATAAAATAGCCATAGATTAATTTACCTATAGTTTTATAAGTTGTACGAAAAATTGCCAAATTTTATAAGTCTAAAAACAAGAAATCTCATTGCTTTATGGAATATTAAAAAAAGAATCCATTCATGATAAAAATATTTTCAAACCAAGATGAAAAAAGGATAAATTGATTACTTACAGCGTTTTATATTCAAAGATACACCATTTGTTGAACTCGATAAAATGGATTCTATATTTCCCATTTTCACTAAATCAAATCTTAAAGAAAACGAAACCGAGAAATATACATATACTGAAATGTCGTTTTAAGATGCTTAGAAACAGATCTGAAGTTTTCTCACATTTTCTGTATAATATCACGACTTATATATTGCAATAGCATTTCTCACGAAAATATGATAAATATCTTTAAGGTCTTCCGTTTCAGACGGAAGACCTTATAGAGATTCTACTGTTTTTTTAAGGTCTTCCGTTTCAGACGGAAGACCTTATAGTGATTAACTGTTTTTTCTTCTTCTTATTATTTTTTTCCCCAAATCTTGTCGGCAAGATTTCTCAGAGATGGCTGGACGGATTTTTCTGAAATTTTCAGGGATGATAGAGAATGAAAATACCCCGAGAAATTTTTTCATTTTTTCGAAATTTACTTCCGGTCGTCAGATATGTCCGATTTCCGCTTTTTTCAAAAATATTTGATCCGAGTGAGATCTCAGAAACGGTAAGAGATTAAGACACCAAACTCTCAGGGATAATAGATCTTGATAAGTAGGCGAATCCATTTGGGTTAAAATCGTCCGTCGTCACTTCCGGTTGTCACAGGAAGTGTTTATACATATCTAAAATTTCAACTTTTCTTTTTTGAAACTTTTTTTGCATTACATTATATTATTTTACTTGTAGTGTTGAAATATGTCAGTCCCACCGGAACCAAAAACGGCAACTTCCGGTTATAAGGGAGAAACTACAGAATTTGAGTATTTTTCTTTCCCATGTTTTTTATAGATAAAGTATTGGGAATGATTTTTGGATATGTTATTTAGATTGCAAATGTCTACAGTAACGTCAAATATCTTTGTAAAATTCACTTCCGGTCGCGTGATTTCCTGTCCTCACAGTTAGAAGTTATCATAGCTAGATCTCGTAAACGGTAAGAGATTAAGACACGAAACTAGTAGGGATGGTAGACCTTGATAACTAGACAAATCCATTGAGTTTAAGATCGTCCGCTGTCACTTCCGGTTGTCACAGGAAGTGATCAAATAAATCAAAATTTTAAACTTTTTTTAATGGAATCTTTCTTTGTATTACCTTATAGCATCTTATTTGTAGTTTCGAAATATGTCAGTCCCACTGGAAACAAAAACGACAACTTCCGGTTATGAGAGAAAAACTGCATAAATTGAGTATCATACTATCCCATAAATATCTTTTATAAAACGAGTATTTGAAATGATTTTAGGACGTAATTCAGACTGCAAATGTCTAGAGTAACATCAAATATCTTTTTTTTTATTTACTTACGGTCACGTGATTTTTTTTGTTCTCAAAATGAGAAGTTAACATTAGAGATCTTTTAAACTGTTACAGATCAAGACACTTTACTTACCATGAAGATTGTGCAACAGACAAAGAGTAAAATGCGTTCACCGTCACTTCCGGTCGTCACAGGAAGTGATTAAAAATGATTTTTATAAGTGTTATGAAGACTATAATTGTCTAAAGTAACGTAGAGAATCTTGATAAGTTATACCTACGGCCGTTTGTTTTCCTGTAATCGTTGTAAATATTATGTGCCTTTTTTAACATAGATAAAAGTTCATTCATACAGAAAAATAGAGGAGAACGGAAGACCGTTTTTGTTGCTGTAGCAACAAGAGTTTCTAGTCTTCTTCTTATTATTTTTTCCCCCAAATATTTTCGGCAGGATTTCTCAGAGATGGCTGGACGGATTTTCTTGAAATTTTCAGGGATGAAAGAGAATGGAAATACCCCGAGACGTTTTTTTCATTTTTTCAAAATTCACTTCCGGTCGTCAGATTTGTCCAATTTCCGCTTTTTTTAAAAATATATAATCCGAGTGAGATCTCAAAAATGGTAGGAGATTAAGGCACCAAACTTACAGGGATGATAGATCTTGATAAGTATTCAAATCCATTTTGGTTAAGGTCGTCCACCGTCGCTTCCGGTCGTGACAGGAAGTGTTCATAAATATCGAAAATTTCAACTTTTCTTTTTTGAACCTTTTTTTGACATCACATTAAAGCATCTTACTTGTTATGTTGAAATATGTCAGTCCCACCGGAAACAAAACGACAACTTCTGGTTGTAAGAGAAAAACTGCATTTTTTAGTTTTTTCTTTCCTCTAAATATTTTTTATACATGAAGTATTTATAATGATTTTTGGATATGTTATTCAGACTGCAAATGTCTACAGTAACGTCAAATATCTTTATAAAATTCACTTCCGGTCGCGTGATTTCCTGTCCTCAAAATGAGAAGTTATCATAGAGTGATCTCGTAAACGGTAAGAGATTTAGACACCAAACTTATAGAAGTGGTAGATCTTGATGAGTAGTCAAAACTATTTGGGTTAAGATTCTCCGCCGTTACTTCTGGTAGTCACAGGAAGTGATCTAAGAAATCGAAAATTTTAACTTTTCTTTTATGAATTTTTTTTTGCATCACATTATAGCATCTTATTCGTAGTTTCGAAATATATCAGTCCCACTGTAAACAAAAACAACAATTTCCGGTTATAAGAGAAAAACTACATAATTTAAATATTTTTTCTTTCCCATAAGTACTTTTAATGGATAATGTATTTGTAATATCTTTTGGATATGTTATTCAGACTGCTAATGTCTACAGTAATGTCGAATATCTTTTTAAAATTTACTTCCGGTCGCGTGATTTCCTGACCTCAAAATGAGAAGTTATCATAGAGAGATCTCGTAAACGGTAAGAGATGAAGACACCAAACTTATAGGAGTGGTAGATCTTGATGAGTAGGCAAATCCATTTGGGTTAATATTTTCTGCCGTCACTTCCGGTTGTCACAGGAAGTGATCAAAAATTTTAACTTTTCTTTATGGAATATTTCTTAGTTATACATTATAGCATCTTATTAGTAATTATGAAATATGTCATTCCCGCTGGAAACAAAAATGACAACTTCCGGTTATGAGATAAAAACTGCATAAATTTAGTATCATAATATCCCATAAATATCTTTTATAAAAAGAGTATTTGAAATGATTTTAGGACATGCTATTCAGACTGAAATGTCTAGAGTAACCTGCAATATCTTTATTTTAAAAATTTACTCCCGGTCATGTGATTTCTTCTCTTTCAAAATGAGAAGTTAACATTGCGAGATCTCTTACACTGTAACAGATCAAGTCACTAAACTTATATAAATAATAAACCATGAAGATTAGGCAACAGATATAGGATAAAAGGTGTCTGCCATCACTTCCGGTCGTCACAGACTATAATTGTCTAAAGTAACTTCGAAAATCTTGGTAAGTTACACCTCCGGCCGTTTATTTTCCTGTAATCATTTTAAATATTATATGCCTTTTTAACATAGATAAAAGCTCATTCATACAGACAAATAGAGAAGAACGGAAGACCTTTTTTGTTGCTGTAGCAACAAGAGTTTCTAGTTTTTTAATCTTATTGAAACTTCGAATTTCTGGAAAGGGTTTGACTCACACTACCTTGCACTTTCACAAATTATAATTTTATTCTTAATACGAAAAAAAAGTGGGAATTTTGTTTAGTATTAATGATAATTGTTAATAAAACTATAATATAAAAAATAACATCTCTTTTTGAGAGACCCCATTGTACCTGCCGATTGAGAGCTGCAATTTAGACTTATGCTAGGCACCCAGGACCATTGACCAGGAAGGGGTTGTTTAGTACCAGCAGCTAGTTCGACACGAGACCATAGGGCCACTGCACAGTAAGGGATCGTTAAGTACCAGCACCTAGTTCGATACGAGACCATAGGGCCACTGCACAGTAAGGATTTTTTCGTACAACATCTACTGCGACACGAGAGACCTCGGTTAATACGGTCTCGACTGAAAGATCGGCCTCCAACCCGCTGTGGGATATGAAAGTGAGGAAGTATATATGGAGGATAAAATAGCAAATCTACAAAGAAAAAAATCTAGATTTAACCTGCCCCAACATACTTCACTTGGGTTATTGCTAAGTGTCTCGATTCAGCACGGCGAAATGGGTCCCTTTCTCATAAAAAATCGACTGATATCTTTGTTTAAAGAGGTCCTTTTCTTATAAAGAATCTGCTGATACCTTTGTTTAATGAGGTTTATTCGCCAATGGCGGCAATGAGGCAACGGACTTTGAATTTTTTTTTCAAAGTGCGTTTATTTTGGGTCAAAATCAATGCACTTTGAAAACAATTTGAAAAACAAAGCACACTGACTTTGGGACCAAATCAACGCACTTTGAAAATTTTTTGAAAGTGCGTTAAGAGTGTACATCATATTTTTTTTTACCATATACACACTTAACGCACAAAAAAATAATTATAAAAAAAATTGACTTAAATTTTTGTAATAAACGACATTATTATTCCCACGCAACGTTTAAGGGGATATAACAACAAGATAATGAGTGTTAGTTGTGCGTAATTTGCATCGGGACCATATGGTAAATATACATTCAATGAGTATAGTTTACTTGTCTGTTAAATTACCTATAGTAGTAAAATAATTGTTTAAATAATTTCATTGTTGTAGTCAGCATTTAACTCAAAGATAAGTTGTATTTGCTGAAGGTCATTTTATCGACCATAGAACGTACGAAATGTGATGACTTCAAACAAAACAGCTGAAATTCTTGTTTCATCAACTTGTTTGTCAATAACTTACCTCGCCTTAGAAATTGTTAATACGTAGAGCATGCTCTTGCGAATCGAATCAACTGAGATACATAAACTCTGTATGCAGGTG